CAGAAGTCCTGACCTTAAGGGCAATCAAACAATTTCGATCGCAAGCAATAAATGCAACATTGACCTTTAATGTACACATTTACTGTAAAATTGTTTCTGTATTAATATAAAATTTTTGTTTTCATTCTCTGATGGCCATGAACTTTCCCCAAGTACGCATCCCGCACGATAGAATTTTCATTTACTTATTTTTTATTAAAGGCTCTAGCACTGAAAAAATTTTCATTGTATGGTTTTGATAGGACGGATTGTATCTAATTTGTCGCTCAATAAATCATCTTTGAAAGGCAAAGGCACTTAACAAATATAAATCATCGAATCGAGATAAACACAATGGAAATTAACTCCTCGCCAGGAGTGATAGTAGAAAATAAAAACGAGAAAAATTATTTCCTGGGGAGCTGCTTTCTTCCGCGGGGCGAATAAATTAGAAGTCGTATCTGAGCTAATCTGCTACGCGAATCAAAGCAGCGGAAAATTGGTTGGCTAGAGAGATGCGCGTTTGAATAAGGAATTAGCCTTAACTGCGGGCACTAGGTTGGAAATGGTCAAATAGAACACACGCACCATGATAGTGCGGATCTGGCAAATGAATGAAAATGATACTGATATACAATGTTACACTTTCATAAACGAAAAAATATAAAATTAGAGAGCCATTAGATCTTCAAATAATCTTCAAATGGATGCTGCAATAATTATTAAAGCTGTTTAAATTATTTTTAATTATTTATGAAACATTATTGTTGCAATAATAATGAATAAGATAAATTTGTGGTGTAAAAAACACTTTTATTTATATCCATGAAGAAACTTTTATATATTAATTTCTCATTATGTTCCTTAGATGTCAAAAAATTAATTAATTATGCTGTTAAGCTCCCTGCATTTTAATGAAATGAGGTGAAATTTTATTAATTCTTTACAAAGTAAAAAACATAAATCGAAATATTTAAAAAAATTCAAAGTAAATAAATTATTTGTATGAAATTCAGGAAAGAAAATTAAATTATAATTATGTGTTTTTTTAGTTTTTTTTTTTATAAATAGTTTTTTGCCAATCTAGAATTATAATATTTATTGAATTATATAAAAGAGAATTTTGGCATTCCAAGCACTGCTCCGACAACGCGGCGACACAATATAATGCGTTGTCCTCGGAATTCAAAATCACGCACCACTTTCTCACTCGCAGATGCCCCGCACTGATAATTTTACTCAACGTACCACAGTTTAGCATAAATGAAATATGTCCGCGCCTGACGTGACTCGCTGATGAGGCACTACCTTACTTTGAATTTTTTTTTCTTCTTACAACAGGCTGTAAAAGAAAGAAAAAAAAACGAGATTCGGTCTGCCCGCTGGCGCGAAGATAAATAAAAACTTTACATAAAAAAGAAAATACAAACACCAAAAGCATCTGCACGAGATAAGTGAAGGCTGACGAACAGCCTTGAAGCGCAAAAGTGCTCTCGTTCCGTGCATGACCCCCAGCTCGAAACTGACCCCGGTGACCTTTCGATTGCACCTCGTTCAGCACCCATTGTTGGCCAACAATGACTCCATTACACAATACGTGAGTGAATTATTAATAAATAAATATTATTGGGCGCTGATAAATTTTATTTACTCTGATGAGAAATTAAAATTTTGATATAATTAAAGATTGGAAGAAATGGGAGGTTTGAAGAGGCAACACCTGCGCTTGCCTTTGGATTTGGCAGGCGACGGACATAAAAAAGTACAGCACAGCGGAAAGACGAACAAAAGTGGTCAGAAAGGATGACCATCCATTTAATTCTATCGCCCGACACTTTCTCTCCGACAAACACGGGATTATCCACTCGCCGCGCGTTCGCTCATAAATTACACTCATATTTCCAGACGGACGTACAAAAACGACACACACACACGTATGTATACTATTTAAACATTTTCCAGCGTCATGCTCGCGGAGCGAATGCGCAATTTCGACGTAAATAATGAGCCGGTAATAGTAGACGGAGTTTTTTGTTTATTTGTTTGCCGTGTGCGAGAGATGATCAATCTTTCTCTTTTTGATTGATGCCTGCGAGTGCGACTGGACGTGTAATAATCAATAAGCTGCTTCCGATATGTAACTCAATTTGGCGAAATGCATGCAGCGCGCCGCCCATTGTTCTCGACGGCTCACTTTCGGCACTGATTTATTATCGGAATTAATTTTTATAATTTGACAGCGCATTGTTTGCGATCTGACTTCGACGGCGCTTGATTGATTGAAATTCGCGCAAACCAATTATTCGTGCTTGCGTTCACACCAATGCTCGTTACGCGTTCAAAATCATATATTTAATATTTTAATATTGATTCATATTAATTGACCAAATAATGCTTTTCCCACTCAATACGTTTGATACGTTATTTTTAACTTTCATTTTACTGCAGTAAATTGCGAAATGTTTATTGAACAATCATGTTAAATTAATACATTCAAAAGTTGTGATTATTTGATTCCAATAATCATTAGCAATTAGTAGTTTGATAATATTTAGAAAATACTTTTTTTTTTACATTTTATATCTGATAAAAAACCAACTATACATTTTAATTTCAACTTGTCAATAATTACATTACATGGTATGTCGTTTGTCGTCATAGAATATTTAAATTTACATTTAAAAATGAACTTGAAGACTAGTTTTTATTTAAAAAAAATTGCTATTTCAATTTTTTTATTAATAAAAAAAATAAAACTTATCAAAATAATATTATAAAGTTGGATTTTATTTAAAAATTAGTTAAAAAAATTAAATTGTAAGATAAAATGGTATTATAATTTATAAAAAGTAATATTAGTATTTACTAAAATGAAAAAAAAACTATTGGCTTTCAAACCAAACCAAACCAATTTTTTTTTAATTTTTATGCTATTATATTTGCAGGAAGAAAGCGACATAAGGATTATGCAAAAAAAGGCGCACCTCATTCTATCAAATCACTTTTGACACCAAGAGAGCCACTGGCCGGCGAACAATAAAAGCTTTCGAGCGCGTGGAGAAATGCGTTTTTTCATTATATTTATGTGAAAAAGAAGCGTTTTCCATTATTCTCACGCGCGCGTCTGCGAAAGGCGCCGAAATTTTCCATTTTTGCTGTTAAACAACAATGAGCGCACGTATGAGAGGCGAGAATCGAGAAATAATGAGAATGTTGACCGGCCGCTCTCATGGCCTGCAATTACCTCGTAATACAAAGTGAAAGAGATTCCGCCAATTTCAGCAAAATTGTGTTTTTTAATGAGGAGAAAATAATTTCAAAAAGCTGAAATAAGAAATCACTTTTGGCTTTTGTGAAACGAAAAGTGGCTCGCTGAAAATTTTTAATAAGTCTGCAGGATATTTAAACTTCTTTTAAAATTTTTTCCAGTTTGAAAATAAATAGCACATCATGTCCCATTACTACTCATTAAAATGCACAAAATTCCTCCCTGCCGTTTCACGATACTTTATCGAGGCAATCGCATTACGAATTTTGACTCTCGGCCGTTGTTTGTTTTAACGCAAAGTAATCAGAGCAGATCTCCAATTTTATCATACAAGGCCCGGACAACTTTCATCGCAATTATTGTGCGCTGATCGCCCAGAAGATTTTCAAGTAAGTGGAGTTGGTGCGCTGTTTGCTTTGAAAATAAATAATGATGCACGGCGACAGCGACGAAATTCAAAAGAGCGGAGAAAGAGAGAGCAAAAAGCAAACTTTGAATGTGGAAAAACTAGATCAAATAACAATAAGAATAAATAACAAAAGCTCATTGATTAATATAATAAAAAAAGAAAATTTCTTCATTGTAAGGCATATCATAGAAAAACAATTACGGGAAAGGCTGCACATTTGCTTTTCATCAAATTATAGAAAACGCTTTACTTTTACAGGCAGATGCAAATAACGAAATTTATTGGGGAGATTTTTTTTAAATAAAATAATATCTGAGTTTCGAGGATATAAAAATTTTTAAGTTATTGTACTTTTAGTCTAAATTGTCTCGCAGCAATGGAGAAACAAATTTATTTTAATTTTATAATTATTTTGTTTTTGCATTTAAATACTTTTATGACCTCTTTTTAATCTTAAAACTCAGCGATTTTAAACCTCCAAATGCAATTATTAAATTAAGGACAAATATAAACGTCATCATGATAATCGTTGAAATTCGAGAATAGAATAAGAAAAGGGCGCAAAGAAAGTAGTGTCTGGCGAGCGCAGAGTGGCATTAGCCGAATTTTGGGTCATTATGACGAGAGCTGTGAGCGACGACCAACTAGGCTCGCGAGTTCATCTGCAGCAGCGCGTTTGCGAAAACTCGTATCTCCACATTTCAAGTTCTTCCGAAAAGGCGGCGGCGGCGGCCGCTCGAAAGGATAACAAACGAGAGAAGAGCGACCAGCACATTTTTATCCCGCAGTAGGGAAAGTGGTCGCTCTCAATCTGCCCCGTTTAATTTACACGCGCGTATTATATTAATATTGTCGTCAGCAGTCCGCGAGTCCTCTGATCATCATTAACATCTCTCGCATCTCTCGCTTTTACGGTCAACTAACGTCTCACATTTATTGTCAATAAATTTATAGAACTCCGCCCGAAGATTTCAAAAGAGATCAAACTTAAATTAAATTACTATGCAATCATCGCAAATGTCTTGTAGAAAAAAATTGTAGGAAAAATTGTATAATTTTATAAAGAATTCTAAATGTGGTAAAACAATTAAAAATTTAAATTTATTTAATTTATTTTTAAATAAAAAAGACAAAAATAAAAAATATCTTTATTAAATTAAACAAATTTATATTGTTTTATATCTATAAAAATATTATTAAATTAAAATTGTGTAATATTTTAGTGTAAAATAAAGACTTTTTTATTATTAACTTGCTTAAAACACTATGAAAGAAGTTGTATTTTTCCCCTAGAAATTTGAGTTGCTAAAAAATAAAAAAAAAATAAAAATAATGAAAACAGACCTTTTCTGCATCTTGGGCTTGGACGGCGAACAAGCCGAGCAGGGCAAGGAAGAGCAGTCGCGTATCCATGGTGGAGGACGGACGGAAAGAGACTGACTGAAGCAGGGGAAGCCGATTCAGCTCTTCTCTTTGCCTGCAGCACTTTCACTGCCACCAACTCACCTCATAAGTGCACACGCGCCGCTCCATCACGCGTTTAACGGCGCGACCCGCACACAATTTTGCCGAATTTCAACCCGTATTTTAGGAGCAAAGAAACTGGAGCAATGACCATGTGAGGAGAAGACTGTGATGATAAATCACGCTAGTGCGTCTTAATCAAATCTACTTTCTTAAAATTTATAAATTCCGTTGTTAAATTTGTCTTCTGATTAATATATATATATCGAAGGTCGCCCGAAATAATTTCACCATCTAGTGAATTTTAGGAACCAGTGATGCACAAATGTTGTTATCTTTAAGCATCTGAATAAAAAAAAAACGATTATTTTTTATTCAGCAGGCGAAACCAAAACTCAAAATTTAATTCGAGGAGCAGATGAATGAGAACTTCGGTGCTAATTGGAAAAAAAATTGCTTAAATTACTGAAAATTTAATTTGCATCTTGTCTTCTCTCATTACTTTTATATCATTGTAAATTTATCATTCTTAATAATTATTAATTTTTAAGCTACATTAGTGTATTGTGAAGTTAGCTGCGACCCGCACAAAATAAAAACTGAAATTATCGTTCTCTAGTTTGAAAAAAAAAACTCAAATTATATGGGTGCATTCATTGCAAGTACTTTTTGATCAAATCAGGCAAACTGTGACTCACCAACGAATACTTGATTTTGATAAACTAATATGATATGAGATATGAGTTAATGATTTAAAAGTATCTTTCGTATCTTTAAAAAGCCAATTTGCTTTTACCACTGCGTGAGCTGCATTTACTCTATAAATAGCGATAAATAGCAAAATGATCTAAATTATATTAATTTTCTTATCAATATGTTATCAATAATCTAATTCTTTAACTGGAAATATAATTCCTCCCATCTTAAGTAGTACAAGTAAGTACAATTTCTGTGGAAAAAATTATTATTCTGAATATAAATTTTGCCAACGCATTTCTTATTTTTGTTTCAGACCATTTCTTCGCTGTCTTTTTTTGCAACATGACTCATTATGCATTTATGTTACGTAATGAGATTCTGCAAATGCCAGTGCAAATGATACGATTCAAACGCAGCAATTTTTCAAATTTTCAGCGCCTCAATTTCATCTCGTCACAAAAGCTCACAATAATCGGATTCGACCGCAAGTTGACGATTGCAATTGCAAAAAAGTGAGAAGCCGTGTGGCAATTTAAAGTAGCACATTCGTATTCCATTTCACGCTGCTGTTTATTTTTTGCCTGGAATCCGTTCAACCTTGCCTCGTTTAAAGTAGATCTCGCCATTAGGAAAGACTGAATTGTATCTCAATTTACGCCACTCGACTCAATAATAAAAAAGTGAAGAGTAAGTTGAGAGTTAATCGTTGCGTCAGATGGTTCTGCACAGAGGCTACTCGATTATGCTCGCCGGCCAAGGTCACTCTCGATCAATTTCACGATTCAAGAGTAAATTAATCTGCGTCAGGTTTTTCGACTGGTGTAAAAAATTTGCGATGGGCACCACCGCAATTATCAACACGTTTTTATGACTATTATTTGACGTGCTCACTGCTATTAATTTATTATAACGTGTTTTAATTACTCTCCACACAGATGGTGTGACCTTTTCTTTAAAATTTGTATTTGGAATAACTGACAATGACTGTGACTATGAAATATACGAACGCATCAAGATGCACTTGGAAATATCTGGCGACAATAATTTTACAGCTGGTGAAATTAAATTCTCAGTTATATAGTTGTTATTGTGCGCGTGTTTTTGGCTGTTCTAATTTCAGTAAATCCACGTAAAAACGTCTTAAAAATATGAAATTAAAATTGAATAATGCGATTTTCTGATAAAAAATCAAACAATAGAATGTTTCTTCCAGATTCTGCGTTCTCATAATTGAACCCCAAGACTAAATTTTACATAGCTCTGATGATTCATTTGAAAAAAAGATTCAACATACTTTCAGAAATTCTCCTTACATTAATACATCAATCATTATATATGTAAATTCAAAATTGCGTGATGCGAGATGTAGTAAAATCTGCAGAATAAAATAATTGAATTTCACAATTCAATTATCTTTAACTGTCAAAATGCATACAATTGAAAAGTGAAATGAGTTTATTTCTTTTTCTGCAATAGTAAAAAGCTCGTTAATACATTTTTTTCTTATTTGTTTGGATTCTAATTTTAGCAGGCTGAATTATAGAATGGTAATTAAAATTTCTCTTAAATGGAGCCTTGCTCTTCATTTTGATGATAAGTATGGTGCATCACAAAACACGGAACATACACCAGAATACGCACATTAATCATCATTTGTTTACATAATCATAAATAGCGATAAACTAAGTAATTAACTCTATGAACTCCTTGAAGATATGATCGTGTCACAGGATCGGGTACACTTAATACAAAATCAACTTGGATGCATATAACTATTAATTATTCACGGGCATTTAAAAATATAGCAGCAAAAAAAATATTCATGAAAATAGTTCTGGCAACTGAGTTTATTTTGACAAAGAACTCTAATTAAAATTTGCTTGGCCAGATGACTTATGTAATTTAATTTTATGTTGAGTTAATTATTAAATAAATAATTTGATTCCCATTGATTCCCATATAATAATGTAATAATAAAATTATTGATATAAATATAAAAATAAAAATGATAAAATGTAATAATAAAGTTAATTTAAACGATTTATAAATAAGAAAATTACATAAAAAATTTATAATGCACGTATGTACATTGATGAATTTAAGAAAAAGAAAAAGTTTCAAATAATTTAAAATAATGTCGTTTAGTTTGTGATTTTTTTTTAAATGTTAAATTATGTTACATTAACACAACACGCACTAAAAATATTACACCAAACATACTTTGCTCTTTTACACCGTTCAAAATGATACTTGCGTGTGTCAAAATCAAATATCAGAGAATCGGTGGGAATTTCGAAACGCCGGCAGGCAACAATGGAACATTGCGCTCTTTTCGATCCGACGTATAAATATTAATTCCGAGAGCAACAACAGCAGTTCACCGAGGAGCCAAGGTGATCTTTGGCTGATTGATCGCATTGTGCCGCCGCCGCCGACTCATTCAGCCGAAATCGATCGAGCAGATCAGTGAAGTGGCGAGCAAGGTCGAGTGGATTTTGGTGGCTTTTATTTGCGTTGGGCAATTTAATTCCCTCAGTGCGCGGGAGGCCGACGCGAATGCATTAATGACTCGCGCACGCACTCTTGGCCAACTTCGTGAGAGGTTGTCTCTGCGAGTTCTTTTTTTTCTTATCTCGCCTCCAGCTCAGAGATGAGTTTCTCTGCTGGACTGGATCGCCAAGTGAGACGTTTAAAAAACGTCTTTGCTCTCTATAACGGCGGCGAGCGTGTTTGCATTTAGTGGGCGTAATGAAAATGAAAGTGCATATCCGTCTGAAAGAGGAGCGAAGCACGTAATGCAACATTAATTGAGTGAGTTACGTCAACAAAACGCTGACGTGATCATTTCCACAGAATCTTTTGCTTACAGGTTTTTTATGTAAATATTCAATAATAAAAAAAGTAGTATTTTAAAAATGTATTTGTTTAAAAAAAAAATTATTTTTCATTTCAGAATTTGAAAATTTTCAAAGTAAGGTAATAAATTTTTTTCAATAAATCTAAATGAATTAGACGCTGCGGGATAAAAAATAGAAAATATTATTGACCGAACCTTTGGATTTTTTTTCCAATTTTATCTTGACACAGGAAATTTTTACGCTGCTGTTGTACCCATGATAGAATTTTATAAGTTTCGTAACTCGTGTCAAACTTTTAAGCTTTTATTGTTTCATCTGGAGCCCATTTGAGTGAGGCTTTGGTTACTCTAATTTGCATAAACGAGTCCGGGCTCGTCTGGGTGCATATCAAGCGGATTAGTGATTTATTGACGTGGAGATTTCAACGCAGGCACTTTTGAATTATTGGGTGTGACTAATCTCTCTCTTTCTCTCGCTCAAAAATTTGCCGTTTCACTTTGATAGTTTCCACGTCACGATTTTTCATATCCGATATTCACTTTGGCAATATTTGCTTTGTGCTCGAAACACTTATGATGCTGATTTTTGTTACGCTATTATGCACACATAAACGGCAAATATAAATCAAAATAATATTACATAGTAAATTTTTTGATGCGGTCAAAATCTAGCTTTAAAAAATTCCGTTTTCAAATCACAATTTTTAGTTACAAAAGTTTATTTATTTACAAATATTTTACTTTTTCAGGGACAAAGTATTGTCGTCCTGTTTTATGAGACCTTTTCTGATTTTTTTTTTTTAAGCGGTGACAGTGAATTTGTAAAATTTTTATTATTAAACTTCAACTCCAACCAAAGCGTCATTCTCGTCATTCTCAACGCCGTCATCTTCAACGCTTCTTCTCTTTCCCATCCAAAGATAGTCGTAGCCCATCGTTGGTTTCCACATTGCGGAGATCTCGGGGTGCATTGGCCGGGTCATAATTGGGGTCAAAGCGGTCCATCCGGGACTAGCCGTGGGCATCGAGGGCCAAAGCGCCACTCCCGGGAAGGAAACGGCAGGCGGCGCTCGAAGTGGCGGCGTCGACGCGCCAAACGCAGGCCCGTACACGCCGAAAGCTGAAAAACAAATTGCATTTCTCAGAAAGATAGAAAAATAAATAAATATCGACGCCACCGAATTTATGTTTGTTGACAAAAATTGCTTTATTACGCGGTATGAGAAAAATGCAAGGGAACGACCGCGTGCGGCGAGGCTGAATTAAAATGAATGAACTACCTGAAGGTCGGTTGAAGTTGACTTCGACTCTGTGATTAGCGTTTCCATAGCGATAGCCGTAAGAAGTGATGCGCTTGTCCCAGCCGTAGTTTCTGTACTCGTCGTGGTATGATGGGTAATAACCTAAATACAGAAAAATGGAGTAAAAATAAATTAAGTTCTTTCAATTTAATTAACAAGATCTCTACAGCTGAACGTATTATTTAGGACTAATTGTAAATTGATCTCTCTTCCTTTTGCACGAAAGCAAACTACATTGTTGCATGGATAGTCAGATGGACCATTTTATTAATTGATATGGTGCAAATAGTCACTTTAAACTGGAAATTATTTTACAGCTACTTTATAGTTATATTTTGTAGCACCGCAAGCAAATTAATTTATTTATTGAGTATAAAACAAAGTTAAATAACAAGAGTGATCAATTTAAGTTTCTACTCTACTTCAACTTTAATTATGAATATTATGATTAGATTATCTTACTATCATTAAGATCTGATTATAAAACTTACACAGCTTGTCCTGATAGAAGTGGAAAAAATTTAGTTTTAATTAATTATTTACATCATAAAATTCTGCAATTGCAAATAATTATATTTAAATGTAATTGCTTTTAAAAAAATATTATGAGTACACAAATTAAATGAATAAGTTAAACTTGTTCATAAGAAGTAACTTGAAAAAATGTTTTAATCTTAATAATTATTTATTATTAAAATGCTGAAAAAAATATTTTAATGTCAAATTTTATACAATTTTTTTAACAATAAGATGTTAACAAATTTTTAAATAATCTCTTCATTCATAAAAATGTGTCAAAAGCTCTTACCAGGCATGTGATGGCTGTAGCTTGGAGGCAAGTAACCGGCCATCGTCTTTGAGATGAGAAGAACACCCACGAGTACCACTGCAGTCAAATAATTGCTCGGTGCCATTGTCTTCGGAAGGTGTTGCTCGCGTCGCGTCTGGCCAAAGAATAAAACGCGGTGGCATCGCGAAAAGCATTATTATCTCAAAGCGGCCGACAATTAGTTAGCTCGCGCGTCGGAAACAAATATACAAAACAATGCACATTTTCACACACCGTGAACTACACGCGCGCACTCCTGATTTCCATGCAAAATTATTCAAGGCCGTGACACTTAATCTCAAGAGCGGCGTTTAATTATGGATTTAAATATTATGCGCGAGGAGACAGAAAAAGAAAGGATATCCTTTGCTCTTGCATTCGCCGCCAATGAATTTTGATAAGAAACACTTCCTCTCGCGTCGGCCCAATGTTTACATTTTTATTGCGAGTATTTTTTTGTTTGTTTTACGATCTCAAAGTGTTGCACCATTAGAAATATATAATGCGAACTTGAAAGAGAAAAACCCGTCCAAGGACAAGCACATTTCTATTGGGCTACGTTGATTTTATCTCTTTTTGCAATTTTGTTTCGAAACTTTTGAAAAAAGACAATCGAATTTATAAGTGGAAAGGAATGCAATTAATTTATTAACGTGTCCAAATCGTGGCGCGCGTTCAAAGGAGCCGAGTGGGTGGAGAGAGCAGCAGACAATTTGCGCGCTACCAACGTGCTCAACAATCACTTCACTTGTGCTCATGTTAAGAAAAAAAACACTCGCTGCCGCGCACTTGCCGTTTTTCTCGCTCTTTTTACTGCCCAGTTGAATCGGCACACGCCCCGCGTTTTATTGTGAACATACACACCGAAACGAATAATGTAGTGAATTTATCATGGCCCCATCGATAATAATTATTGCCCGCCCGCCAATAAACAAGTCGTGCGCTCACCATTGTATGTAAAGTGCGAGATGCGAAAAATATTACAGTATTGAACAGACAATCTTTTGCTCCTTTCTCTTTTCAAAATGAAAATTTATTAATATAAATTATTTATTGAAAATTAAAACTTTTATTATTATAATTCAATTCTTTTTTTAACTTATTTTTAACAGTACAAAATATAATTGTTACATAATTTCTTTAAGCTTCTCCCAATATCTGTTGAGCACTTCAACAAAAATTTAATATTTAGTTTTTTTTTTAACAAAAATATCAAAACAGAGAGGCTATTTTATGAGGATCAAATTCATTCAAATTGCAAGAACATTATTAAATATAAAATAATCGTGTTTTTTTTTTTCAAATTCAAACATGCATTTTGTTAGAGCATCCGTAATTTTACAGGTTATAGAGAAATTTAAAAATGAAGTAAAAATTCCAATTTGTATTAAGTGCAAAGCACCGCAGAAGGTTTTTGAGCAGATTTTGACATGCTAGTGTTTTGGCACAAATTCACCTTTATTATTTTGTAATTAGGCACTTTTGCTTTTTTTATCATTGCATTGTATTATTAGAGTTGAATAAATTAACCATAATTGGAATCTAGGAGCGCGCATTTCCTGTATTTTAAAACACAAGTTATCTGTCACTTTTTGCTCATTCATTACATATGTAAACGGCCGCTTGATAAGAGAATTTATTACGTTTTGCCAGCGTATTTAAATTATACTTGAAACAATGTAGCATTATTTAAATTATTTCACTCTTAAACGGGCCTCACCGCATCATCATTAATTTACTTGGACGTGTTTTGTAATTGAAAACGTGCTTTGCTGGTTGATTATAAATTTCCCTTTTGATATTTATTTTCAAGCGCAGTTAAATTACTCGCTGGTTTAAAATAATTAAGGCTCTACAGTTTCATGTGGAACGGCGATATTATGAGATATTAATGATAATCCTTTAAAAAAAGTGCCTCCTGTCATGGGCTTACTATATACGTCAGCTCTACAAAGCATTTAAAACAGAGGAGCATCGTAATTATCGTGACTCACAAATTAATGAAAGAATATGGGAGGTTGCGCAAATTTAATTCATAAGATAATTGCATGAAGCTCAATTAATTGTGTTTCAATTTTATTTACATATAATAAATATTTTATTTTCCATATAAATCGCTCAAAATAATATATATAAATGAAATCAAGATAAAAAATATTCTATTTAATTCACAATAATATCTTTTTCTATAATGACTGAAAAAAAATTAATCGATTAAAAAAGTAGATTAAAAGTGCTTCAACAGTTTGCCAAGATCAAAATTGCACAACATTTATTCTAACCATTGAACAGTCAGCGTTGCACGGTAGAGATGCGTAAAATCGGCGAAACAGAATCACAATGAGCATGAGTTGCATCAGAAAGCGATGAGCAAACTAGCTTAGTGTCCGTCCGTCCGTCAATTGCCGGACGAGAGCTTTCTCCGGCAGAGCTTCTCGCGGAAATGCAGGAAGAAGCTGTGAAAATAAATGCACTTAGTGCATCTCTCTGAGCCGTGTGTCTCTTGTGTTTATCAGAAAAGCTGCACTTTTTCTTGCTTAATGAAGTGACAAATATTGTAAAGTGGTGAAACTGCTTCCAGTCGTCGAGACGAGGCTCTTAATAAAATGAACATAAAGTTTTACGACTCGCGCAGAGCAGTGACATGAAATGTGTTCGAGAGTTAATTCTTTTCGAGGAGATCGGAAATCTCTCGCTGGACACTCGTACACGCACCACTGCCTACGGTTGATTTATCATGTTCAGATATTTTATGAATACGTGCACATTGTTTCGACCGCTTCCAGAAGTCAAAGAGCGAAATGATAAACGACCATTTAAACAGCATGGCAGAGGCCGGCCGGCCACGCCAGAGAAAAACGGAAAGAAGCAATAAATTACGGACTTCAATAGGCTTTATTTCAATTTTGTTTTGGAGGCGACTTTTCTTGTTTTGATATTATATATAATATAAAAAAAAAATTAATTGTGATGGAAGGAATAAAGCAGCTTTTTATTAATTCAACTGGCCCTTGAGACGTGTCACTTGATATTTATTGCACTGGGACAAAATTTACAAATTCTTATTGAAAAAGTATTTGAACATAAATTTTCTTTTGATTTTTGTTTATGTTCTTAACAGCATAGAATGAATTACTTTATACTTTATTTTTATTTATTGCTTGAAACTGAATTTAAGAATACAAGTTTTTTTTACATTTGTTGGGAGAGCTAAAATTACTCAAATTGAAGAGCTCCAAATTGGTTTTTTAACGTGCCCTCGTCAAAAACCAAAAGGAACAACATCAAGAAGAGTTCAAATGGGAAGCTTCACGGTGTCGATGCGGTCAATAATAGCAAATTTGTATAAGAGCTTGTCTTTAAGCACCCATATAAGTATTACATACTATCTCTATGTAATGCTCGAATCAACAGATTAATTAATTCAACATTTTTAAGGCCCAAAAGAACAAAGAAATTTGAGTATAAAATCTAATAAATATTATAAATTTTAAAATCAAAATTTATGTTTGAAATGAATATTTTAATAAAACGAAGCAATTGATTCAATTAGAGATGTATTTGTGTGTGTTTTTAAAAAAAAACTTAATTAACAGTTTTATTTGAAGTTGTAGAGGAAAATGATCCTTGGAGGTAACAAAATAATGAGCATATAATTTAAAATAAAACACAAATTTGGATTGAAAATATTGTATGAATTCATTCAAAATTCATTTACTTCCCAAAAGTATTTATGCGTACACACTGATTACAATGTATAATATAGGAAAGAGGTGCGCCAAATGTAGATATGATTCCATTAAAGCCTCACCAGTATCTCAAAAACATCATTACACAACTCCACGCCATCATAGGGTACAAAAGAATTTTCGCAACGATGGTGCACCTGTTTGTAATAAAAACGCAAATAATATAAAAAATATAATTAAGTTTCAAAATTTTTAAGTACCTTGCCAATGGCGTGGTGACCATCTTTTGTCACGACTCGGCAAATGTAAAGAGTGTCGCGATCACCCTCTGAATATCCACCGATCACGGCATTGCTCGGAACTTCTCTTGTAATCGTAGTTGGCACCCAATCGTATTTGCCCTTGCCGCACAAAACCTCGTATGAACACACCGCATTTTCCTTGCAACCCCAGGGAATATAGGCTGTCCCGTTTGCAGGCACAACCTTCCCTGGAATTAGACCACCCTCGAAAAATGCTCTTCCGACGTAAATTTTCTCGCCGTGGTCGTAGCCACCCGCAAAAGCATCGCAAGGCACTCCTCCGTGGCTTTCGCCTTTCCAGACATCTAAAAAATATGAATAATTTCAGGAAAATTTTCTACATTCCTGGTCAATAAAATGTTTTATTTTGATATTATAATCTTCATTCCATTGTTTTTCTCCATAAAAACGCTGTATTTGATAAACAAAAAGAAATTTTTTAACTGTAAAAGGCTTTTAAAAAGATAAATATGAAAAATGGAAACTTTACTGAAATTTACATTATATTTCCTTGCTGAAAAATTGATATTTATTAATTAACTTTTGCAACGAAATTTTTATAAGAAAATTAAATTTTGTCAATGCAACTTGACAAATGTACCGTGCTTGGCCATTTATTTTTCTTCAAATGAGTTCCTCCTCACGCTGGTCTGATATGCGATATTTTTGCGCAGCCTGTAAAAAAAAAACAAGTATATATTACGTTGGTGTTATTGTTATTATGCGCTGTTTTCAGAATTCAAATTTGAATAAGATTTTATTCTGGATATCTACACTTTTTGAGCGGCTTAGCGATTTTTAGATCAGAATTTTACTGCCAAAATTATTATATTAACTTTTTTTTTAAATTTTTGAAAGAAAAAAATTACTGCCAGGAAGAATTGAATTGTTGGCAATCAAACAATAAAAACATTTTTGGATTTTTCTAAGTATGAAATGAAAATGGAATCAAGATTTTCAATCAATACTTATCAGGAAACTGGGATTTGAAGCTGGCAGGTCAATTGCTCGTCGCAACCAGAGTACAAAATGATTTTGAATTATATCCGCATCATTATATAGAGCCATCCCCATCCTTGGCCACCATGGAAAATTTTGAGACACAGGAAATTGATACTGTTAATATAAAAGCAAATAATCGCTTCTTGTTGAAACATCCGCCCTCCCCAGTTTGAATAACCTTTGAAGTCCCAATATTGGCCTGGCCTGCAAAACATCACGAGAATTTCACAACTTTTTCAATATTGAATATTCATAATATGTTTTGTCTTCAGCAATAAGTCTCCTAGCATTGAGCGACCAATTCTTTATCACTTGCATCCAATAATGCTGACATATTTATATTGCATGCGTAATTATTACGGCACCAACACGACGCTTGGTAAGAAAATTTTCAGACTAAATGATTCTAATCCAAAATGTGTTCAGTTTTTTATTTAAAAAGTATTTTCTCAAAATTTGAGCCGAACTAAGGACGTCTACCTTTTACAGGTATTGCGGACAGCATTCTTATTTATTTATGATCAAACCATCACATTATTTTAAAAATAATTTTTAGCTCTACATTTAAGTTTCAGGTGCCTTCACTTCCACTGCTTTTTGAGAAAAAAAATATTTGACTTTTCGTTGAATAAAATAATTTAGCATTAATTGTTTCTGTGCTAATTTTGAAATTTTTGTTGAGTGGTGTCATTTGTTTGTGTTGTAAAGTGTAAAGCAGTTGCAGGGTTTAATTTTCTAGAGGTTTTTACGTGGTTTTACTGAAACTGTGCTAGAAAATCACGCATATTTTTTTTTTTGAATTAGCTTCTTGAACTTGCTGTTATTTATTTTGTAGTTGATTGCAGTGACATTAAATTTAATCATTTTGAGACATTTATTTGGTATAAAATAATTTTTATTTTTTCAAAAATAGAACAGCGCAATAATTTATTTTCTTCTTTTGTTAAATAATTTTGTGCCTACTGGTGCTCACAAATATGTAGACGCAAAAACCGAAATGCACTGCAACCTGGTGCTCGAGTGGAGAACTGGCTGTTTGGAAGAGAAACTTCGTGGTGTCGCTGTCACTGCGGGATCATGCGGGATGCGGGATAGAAAGAGCAAATTTATAGCAATAGTTGAGGACAGCATAAAGTATTCTTATTTTCTTTAATTTTATTTATGATCGAACTATCAAAATATTGATAATAGCTTGTTCAAATATTTTTAATTTCAAGTGCATTATGATTCCACTGCAGTGGTTTTTGAGATATAAAGTTATGTATTAGACTTTTCGTTGAAGAACATTTGAATCTAAGGGCTTACATTAGAATTCAAGCTTCGAGCACTATGTACTTAATGTTTATCCAACAGCATTGATTAAAATAAATTAATTTTTATACTGGGTCGTTTGTGGGTTTTTTTTAAATGCTATTGAAAAATCTACTAAAAATTTTGGTAAAATATTTAAAATTACTTATGGATATATTTATAATTAAAAATAAACGCTCTGTAATGGATTACTTTATGCTTTGATTTTGTTTCCCCGTCACTGGGAGGAAAGTTTTTAAATTCATGGGAGCAATGAAGCACTCTTGTCAATCATTTTGCAATAATTACATGTTGTACGTCAGAGCTCCTATTATGTGACAACTTGATATGAGGATGTTTCCGGTTGATATTTGCATTTTTTTGTTGCTATATTTTTCTATGCTAACACACTCACTGTATTATTATTTTCCCACCAAACATGCGAACTAAAAAAAACTTGAAATTTTTCACTCTATTTAGATTAAATATATCATTCTCAATAGATAATTTAATTTTCAAAACAGACGAAAAACGTTTCCAAAATTGTGAAAAGTATATCGAGTTCTTTATCTACAGAAAAAATAGACGAAATCGATCTCTTGACCATTGTATACATAGCAGTTTTTCCTTAATTAAGGAGTTTTAATTTAAGTTTCAATTTTCTAATAGTAAAAAAATATAATATGCCGACTGAGAATTGATTTTTGATTAAGAGCTCATAATTCTGCGCAGAAAAAAATCTGATCTGCATAAATATATATTTTAGTTTTTCCCTGTTTCCCGGGCATGTGGTTTTTTTTAGTAATCCTAAATCATTCTTTAAAACGTAAACCATATTTTTTTAAGGTAAAGAGCAGTTAATTTCCTCGTGGCCCGAAAATAAAAAGTAATAAAGGTGTAGTGAAACGAAAAAGTACAAACGAATTTGAAGATTCAACGATGTGTGTTGCTTTGTTCGCACTCCAGCAATTGAATGGAAAAACACCTTTAAGCAAAAAAAAAAAAAAAAATAATAATAATAATTATAATAAAAACATAAATAAATAAAACAAACGTGCATACATAAAATCTGCATCTTGGCCCGGTTGATGGTGAGGAGCCAGACAACCGCCGCATATGGCCCTGCTCTTTGAGCATTTTGCACCGCTGCTCGCACCCGACTACTGGGGGGTGCTCGCGTGGTTCGTCACCACCCTTAGCGCACCCCTGAGCTTGTGCCTCTGCTCAGTGGCTGGAGATGGCACCCCTTATCGCTGTTTTGAACTTTTCGGTGGCTGTGTTCTGCGCGCTGCGGTACCAAAGTTCAGTGCCCTCTGTGTTTTTTTTTTTGCTCTGAAGCATCTCGTATATTCTCTATATTCACGTAAAAACCACTTCAATAAACCAATCTCTAATTTGAAAGAAACGAAGAAAAATGAAATTTATAATCTTAAAATCCTTATTTTATAAAGAATAAAACATAAATAATAATTAGATCTCGACCACCGACGAGAAAGCTCATGAATTATGGTTGCAGCCCGCAGACGAAACATGTATTGTTTTTTCTGAAACAATAAACAACTCACAAAAACCCATCGAGGAAAAGCCATTTTAAATTCAAATCACCATAGATCTTTCATTTGAATCCTGCAAAATCTTAATGCATTTTATTTATTTTATTAGAAAAAGTCATGCATGTGTACTTAAATTCCGGATGTGACAGATTATTATTTATTATGAAATTAATTTAATTTGTATAATTTAAATCCTAGAAGCAGAATTAATTAATATTATAACTTAAATAATATTTTGACCACAATTAATTATATCAAATGTTATTTTATTTTTATAATCACTAATGTGCCCCCCTTTATTTATAGTTTTTAACATTTGCAGACCCAATGACAAATTTTGAAAACATTTATTTCTTGCGTAAAATTTGCCCATTGCCGTTTAGTTCTATTTGTTTTAAATCTAGCCCATAACGCTGCAGCGTTTTATATGCCCATGAGTGCACAATACTTTAAAAAATTTTAAAACTCGTCGCCCTCTGTTTAGGATGTTTAGGAGACCCACAATTTATGGCTTTTGGATTAAAATCAAGAATTTTTTTTCATCATTTTTAATTTTAAATTTTATTTTTTGTATACATATTATTAATTTTTATATGTAAACGTTTAAAAATAAGCTTGCGCTTAAAAGGAATGAGCAAAAAATTAAATGCATAGCATTTATCTCAAATTTTCATCGTGCAAAAAGCTCAACTCATATAGTGTATCGACGACTCTCTGATTGTGAGAGTGCCATAAAATTGATGCTATAAAATATTGTAAATAAATTGACACTTTGTTGATTTTGCACTGTTCTTCAATTTTTTACCATGACGTGGCTTATAACTTGCTGTTTGTCTTTATATAAATAGTTGGAGCGCGGCTGAGCGTATCAAGGTCTTTTGCGTGATCTTAATTAGACGCGCTTGAAGCCGGCGCTCGATGCAATATTCGCCAGCGATCTGCCTGTAATTATATTTTAATTGCAATTTATAAAAGCTCTCATTCAAAGCACTCTCTGCGAGAAAGAGGCAAAAGCTGGAGGTGCAAGCGAGAGTTTAATATAAGTTTGACGAGTTTGATCCAAAATGCTGATATAGTTCACAAAGCTTGCATAAATCAGCGATTTAAGAGCATGTTATCAGAATCATCTACTTTGACATAGAGAAGCTCCGGCCAATTCTCAAGTTACTAAACTAAAAAGGAATCTTTTTTTAAGTGAAACTCCACTTTCTCAGATTAAAATTAATTCTTTATTAGTTTTCATCTTTTGATTACTTTTGTAACGGACATTTGATCATTTAAACTCTCTCAGACAGCGCAACACAGATATTCGCTTCTTTTTTTTTTTTTAACACGCACATGATAGACTGGCTATATAGTGTCCTTTTATAGTTCCATCTTACAGTAACTAGTTTTCGAAATAATTGTTTTTGTTCATCTTCTGAGGTGTACAAATTTAATTGATCGGCTGAATCACAATGAGTCGCGTAGCGTCTAAAGCATTTTGGTCATCAATTTTATAATGTGTATGTGAAGAAGCTTTATTTCGGTAGATTCAATTTTTTTTTAGGTTTTTCTTGCACAATTGTTTAACAAAAATGAGTTCATGCAGAACATGATGATTTTTTTATAAAATTCTCCTTGAACAATTTACGATTGCGAGAAGATATTTTCCAGTGTTTTTTTTCTTTATATATAAAATACAGACAAGTTGAACAATTTTCCTTCCCTTTTATTCTTTTAAAACACCGGCTTTGAAAGAGGCTTTTCAGCTCAAATTTTTAATGAGATCATTTGACTAGAATTTGGGGAAATAAAAATTTAAAAAAAATATATAATCTTCTTATCCTGCAAACAAATTAAACAAAAAATTCGCATTTGGCATTTTTATGCCGGCGAAAAAGGAATAAATTTTCCGACTCTCAGTCCTCGTCCTCGACGGCAGGCAGACGTTGCAACTTGGGTCTGGTGGGCCGCGTTTCTCCCTCCTCGCCGGTCTCCTCCGAGTCCATGGACCGACCCATACCAGACGAGGATAGCGACGTTTCCACGGAGGAAGCAGGTCGTTTTCGGCGTTGGGGGGTGTTTGAGGCCGAGTCAAGGCTCGAGTCGCGCGCCAGCAAAGCCTGGCCGCTGCCGCACGACGAGTCCGAGTTTTGGCGAACGCAACTTTGGCAGCGGCGGCCTCCATTGACGCGTGGCAACAAACGCAGGGTCACGTTGTCGCGCCTCCGACCGCCGTTCAAACCTGGTGGGCAGGACGAACGCAGCTCTAGGCTGGTCGGCTGCAAACATCACGAGTTTCATTATTGCAAAATTGCATCATTAAACATTTTTCTTGGAAAATATTGCTATAAAAATTACACAAATATTTGCCTTTAGAGTGTTCCAAAATGATTAAGATTAAAATAAGCATTTTTATTTGCTTAAAATTAAAAAAAAAATTTGTTCAATATAAAATTATATAATTTTGATACATAAATGTGAGAAAAATCTGTTTTTTCATTTTACATAAAATTGTAAAAATTTTAAAATTTAAAGACAGTTAAATAAAACATTGTTTTATTTCACAATTTAGTTTTTTTTGTTATACATATTTTAATATTTCAATTTTCAATGTATAATGATTTCATAAAATTGTGTCGATAAAATAACAAATTTTTGAAATTCAGTCTTTTTGGTTCATGATTTTGTTTACTTTGACGTGTAAAACAATGAAGTATAAAATGGTATGCTATATCGTCTGGTTGACTTATTACTCTGGACATTTGAAAATGTTTTGCATTTATGCACTGCTTCCTCCGTCAAGCGGATTTGTTCATGCATATTTAAAGCACCAGTCGGCCGGTGATCGCTTTGAGGTAAAACAGGAATTAGCACTGTGGAATGTGTGCTAATCCGTGCAGATGGAAAAGTGTGGTGGTGCGCAGCAGAGCAATGAATCTCGTCTGTTTATTATCTGCATGCGACACACGTTGACGCACCCTACGTAGTTTGTCATTAGGTGCTGACACAATGGTATTGATTTCTAGCTGCAAGCTATCCTTGCTTGCAGATTCAAATTTCACGTCAAGTTATTTTAAACTCGCAAATTGACTCCAGTTTGAATATAAATCATAAATCATAACTAAGAGTAAAATTACAACATGGCAATATCATTTTCTACCTTTTGGAGTTCTAAAACGGTTTTATTTGCCGGAGAAGAATAAATAATAATAATTTAATAAAACGATCTGTGCTAAAAATTGCCATACCTCCTTGTGCAGTGGACTTTTGATGGCGTCGTTTGTGATGCAGTCGGTGTTGTAGCTGTGCACAGACATAGACTCCTGTTCAGTGGACGTTTCAAAGTAGCCTAGTGGCGGCGGCCGAATGCGCAAGTTGTTTGCTGGCTTCACGCAAGACAATGCCTTGTCAGGAGGAACCCGAGGCTTCCACCAACATAAGATGGACAAAGCTTCTCTCCGAGCTGCTTCACTCCTGCCAATCAAGTTCCGAATAAAATATTTCGTACTAGTTTCATAAAGAAAAAGACTAAAATTAAATAAATGAATTCTATGAAAATTGGCTGGACTTGCAATAAAATAAATCTTTTCTGTTTAAAAATATCATAAATAAACAAAAACCGATAAAATAAATTCAAAAGTGTAATTCTCAACACGTAAAGCTCATTATTAATCAATCAAATTTCATTGAATATAAATTAATTTAAATTTGCCTTACCTGAAGACGTAGACAAATGGTGTGACGACGCCATTGGAGAGAGCGGCGCTGAGTGCGAAGAGGCCGAACGGTGTTGGGGCCCACGGACCAGCCAACAGGCCCGCAAAATACGGCGTCCAGCAGAGGAGGAACGAGGTGACGACGATGGCGGCCGTTTTTACCGCTCGGCCTTCCTCCCGTGAGAACACGGAGCCCTGTCGCGTCAGCGCCACGACGTCAGTCACGCTGTGACGCCGCGTCCGTTCGCTGTTGCGTTGTGCCGCTCCGTACATCCGTGCGTAGATGACGCACAATATCAGCAGCGGAATTATCAGGCCAAGAGTTGCCAGCGAGCTTGCGTACGCTATTCGAAATGGAGTTTGGCTCTGAAACCGATCCGATATGGGAATATAATATTCACTTAAAACTTAAAAATTGTTAATTGGCAAAAATTTCCAGAAGAGAATATTATTTTCAGTTAATTAAGTAAATTGTTTTGCAAATGTTTACTTATTACATGAAATATTTGAATACTCAACTTACGGGTAGAAAAAAGGAAATTAATTTTTTGAATTCAATAAGAAATTTAATTAATTAAGTCTTTGGGCGCAAAAGAATATTCATTTCAATAAAAGTTTCGTCGATTTGCCACAATATTAAGTTACATTCATACTTAAACAAACTAACCTGTGAAAAAATAAGCGACGGTGGTTCGGCGCCGATGGTGAGGGGCAACGTCGCTTGCAGAAGAGCCAGGCCCCAGGCGACACCCAGGAGGACGCGGGCGCGCTGCTTGGTGCCTGGAGACGAGTAGTGCAGGGGCGACAGGACGGCCGAGTGTCGGTCGAGGGCGATGCACACCACCGAGAGGACGCTGCCGGCCACGGCAAAGATGGCCAGCGCGGACAGCGAGCGCCGCAGCCACGGGTCGCGGTGTCGCGCCATCAGGGTCGACGGCACCAGCACGGCCGCCGTCAGCAGGTTGCCGAGCACCAGGCTGACCACGAATCTGCGTCAAAACATCATACAAGTGACGTCAAAAAGGAGAAGCACGCAAATACAATTTTCACATTTTCATTTTTCCCATATATTTAATAATTTAATTGATGTGAAATGAAAATGCACATCCGGTGTATCGTCAAACGTCAAAACTTAGCAGTTCCCTCTTCATTTCCCCTGAATCTACTGTCATTTAATATAGAGTTGTCACAGCAGTTGACATAGAGAAATGCTGTGCACAACACATGCTTAGTGGAAAATTAATAATCCAGAATGACGCGAATTTTGAGATGTGCAGCGATTGCTGGTTTTCTTTTCACTACGCTGGTATTGTAAAAAATAATACTGCACTTCGTCTTTAATGTTTTATATAATAATGAATATTTATTTCCGTTAGATAATTCTGTCAGAAGCATCCTCAGCGAAAAAAAATATTGTCATCAAAGCTTCCTTTCTGGGACTGAAATGTAAATTATTTTAGTTTTACAATTGTAACAGTTTTGGATGTTTTTTTTAATTGAGAATTTCAAACAGCCAAAAGTTCAACAGTTTTTAGAAGAGCAAAACTAATTAAATGCTGTGGTAAAAATTCCTGCATCAGTGGACTGCCAGTTCACAGGAAAAATGAATCCGGAAGCACAATGATGGTGAAACCGACAATTGCAAATAATACATAATTACAGATAATTGATATAAAATTGTGCGCAAATGTAGGCTCCGGATGCTGGAAAAAATGGAGGCAGCAACGGGGGAGGTCAACCCGCCAAAGATGGGGGTGCTGTTACGTCATCAAGTCAAGGGGGTCAGGGTGGACCAGCTCCAGAGAGCAGCACTGATGGAAATTTAGGAGTTTCTGAAATACCTGCTGGAGCCACCGGAGGAAGTGGCAACAATCAAGTAGTGGACGCAACCACTAGTGGGGGTTTGGGATACACAGGAATCACCGCAGGAGTAGATGGTGACTATGGCAGTGTCGGGTCAGCAGGAGGAGGAGCAAATCTTAACCCTGGCCCTGGCGCAAATGGTGACCCTCTCGCTAACGCTGCAAATCCTGGTTCAGGAGCAATCGTTGACCCTAACCTTAATCCTGCTGGTTCTGGAGCAAACAACCCTAATCCCGCTCCTGCAACAATCGTTGACCCCAATAATCCCATAGCCGACCCTGGACTCTCAGGATCTGGCAGCGTCTCTGGGACAAATAGTCCATCAGCAGGCTCATCAGATCCGTCCCAAAATGTTGCTTCTGAGACTCCAGCTCCAGCTAATTCAGTGGCAGGTGGAAATGTGGCGGGCGATTCAGTGACAACTACAGTCGCAAGTGGACAAACTGGAGGAGCATCTTCGAATGGGGAAACTACCTCAATCCCAGCTGGAGTCACAAACCCAAAGGCTGACACCACAACGATAGCCCTTCCAGCAGGAGGAAGTTCTACTGCCAAGAATACTGTGGGTTCAACAAACAACCCGCTGTCTAATTCTTCCACGGTCGCTGCAAACAACACTGGAAACAGTGATGATAAAATTGCCGAGATCAAAAATATCAAAGTTGATTTTACATTTTAAATCAGGCGCAACTGTGCTGCCAAAGTCAAATCCGTGCATGGATGATGTCTGCGTCCTACCGTGTGATAAGGATGTAAGGCGGAAAAATTTTTAATTAATGAAAATTCTGGCATGTAACTTTTATTTTCAAAACATATTTTAGCCTACGCTTTTTGTCAATAATGTTCTTCAAGGTAATATACCGATGAAAAATATGTAAATTTGAAAATTAAACGATTTTTTTAAATCTTTAGTTCCCGCTGGTAAAGGCGCCATTAAAACCATATGTGGAAAGGATTATTTTGTCAGCACTGAAAAAGTAAACAAAATTTCAAGATTTTTATATAATGATAATAAAATTGCGTTTTTTTTTTTAAATTTATAAAGGCAAATTATACGGTGGCGTCTAAAGCCTGTTGCTCGATGGGCATGTTTTTGAGCTCCTTTGAAACACGGGCGGAGCAAGACTGCTTCTCAAAGTATAACAAAGGTAAATCAGTTGGAAGGAAAAAAATTGAACAAATAATATTAATAAAAAAACTCGTTTAGACGTCCTGAAATTGAAGAAATCGGACTTCTGGATTGGCGCCACTGACATGGCGTGCTATCAGAAATTCACCTGGTGCACTGGTTCGCAAATAGATATTTCCAAATACGACTGGACTTTGATGCAGCCGAATTATTTGGGTGGAAACCAACATTGCATCGTAATGACCGTGGAGTTGGATGGGTTTATTTTACCAGGCGACAACGGCTTAAATGACTGGGAATGCTACGAGCTGAACAATTATTTATGCGAAAAGTCTTAATAATATAAAATGAGAATTTTAATAATAAATTGGTCATATTGGAAAATAGGTTTTTTGCTTAAAAATTGTTTATAATGAGGGATTAGTGGAATATTGGTTGCAAGTGGATGAAGCACGAAATTATGTCAAAACGGAAACAGCAGAAATCGTGCGTATTAGGCTCGCTTATGCCGGAAGTAAATTTTTCATGAAAACATTTCAAAACACTCACGTCATGAGGAGATGCCTCACTCACCATCAGATTGGTTGAATTTTAAAATCAGCCATATTTTATTTCCTGTTGGACTCTTCCGGTGCCATTCCAATAAAATTTTCATAATGTAGCACGCAGTGTACTGCAATGATGTGGTAAAAGTGATGCGAGAAGCATATTGAGATAAAAAAAAAATGCGATCCGTCGCATACTTATCAATGTTTATAATTTTAATGGTGAGAATTAATTTCTATGTGAGTATTTAAATTTGCTTTAAAGGTAATATTGCATGATTGTGCCGAGAGTAAAAGTGTGCAGAAAAAACCAAGCAAAACCAACAAAGCTCAAAAAGGCAGCAAGGTTCAGAAGGGCACAAGTAAAGCAGGTCTAATTAAAGGGCTTTTTCGAATTTTCTTAATTAATTATATTGTTTCATAGGGACAGCAAATGTGAATAAAAAGAGGCAGCAAATTATCAAATGCTGTGGAGAAGATTCGTGCTCTGCGCCGTCGCTGACCAAAGGCAATAAAACAAAATCCGATCCTCCAGCAAATAATGTGAGATTAAGAAAAATTAATTTTTCGCATTTTGACCCAATCAATAAATCTGCAGCCGGCTGCAAGTACGGCTGCAACACAGCCACCTGAAGACCCTGCTGGAGATACAGGGGCAGGAGGTGCGGCGGGAGACGCTTCTGTTTCAGATTCGGGAGCCCCTGTGGCCAATACGGACGCTCCCGCGAACCCTCCATCTGATCCTCCGGCAGACCCCCCAGCCAACCCTCCAGCAGATCCTCCGACCGATCCTCCAACTGAAGCAACAACTGAGCAAGCTGTTGGCTATACCGGAGCAACTGCGGGCCCAGATGGCCAATATGTTTAAGGAACTGACCAGAAATTTAAATAATAATAATCGGTCAAATTCGGTTATGCGTCAGTATTTATAAATTGCTCAAAATTCTATTGATATGTAGAAAAAAATTTACCAATTGTTCAGTAATTTTAAATTAATTGATGAAATAACTTCTTGGGAAATTAATTTTCTGTTCCATTTTATAACAATCATAAAACAAACTTTTATTCAAAATTCCTTCATAAATTGTGAATAAAAAAGGTAAAATTGGAAAAGACTGAAATTTAATTTCTGCCCCTTATATTCATGTTTTCTATTGCAATTAATTTTAAACTGTATGATACGGAAAAATAATGGGTAAAAGAGTTTTGATTACGGAACCACGTAATCTCACCTGTTGGATGGTGAGCGGAGGGCAGGTCGCTTCAGGAAGATGAGCAGGGCGAGCAGGTTGACGGCCGAGCCGAGCACCGCCAGGAAGGAGATGACGGCCGCGCGCACGATTGCCATCGCGATATCCACATTGCTGATGGCGGCGACCCGGTCTGCAAAAGAAATGAAAAACATTGAATTTTTAAATTTGAATTAATCATAAGATTTATCAAAACATGTGGTTTGGGGCAAACAAAGTTTTTCGTTTGAAACAATAAAAACTGTGCGTGTTTTTTTACGACATCATCCCCTTTAAAGTGGTTTCAAGGGTGCCAAGGTCGCGTGTCCGCAGTGCAGACTCGCGCACTCAAGGGCGTCGTGCACGCCAGCAAAAGAAACAGTCGCGCACGCATTCGAGTGCCAAAGGAAGTGCGCGGCGGCGTTATTTCGCGTCCCCGCAATGGGGTGGCGAGGGCGAATCGTCCACTCACCGAGGGGGTCCGCGGCGCTGGAAACGTTCGCCACATCAGCCTCTGTGCCGCTCATGCCGCTCCTGGGAAAAATAAACAGAAATATTTTTCAGTCGGTTAATAAAATTTTGCATTTACTAAAAAAAAAACACCAAACATCTGATTTGACTAAATAATTAATTAATTGATAATTTCATTCATATTAGATGCTTAGTTTTTTTTCAAAATTATCACAATCAAGTATATTGACTCCATTAGTAAATTGGGAAAAATTCGCGTCTTCTACCTTTGAAAAATTGTATAATGTCGTTTTCTACAATTTGAAAACAATTGTAGCCTGATAAAAAAATTATTATTTATATATTTTTTTTACATAATTTTTATAATTTTACATGTGCATGAAAATTGACCTTTGACTATTAATATTCGATTAGGAGAGAATAGCAAAAAATTATTTGTTGTTTATCATATAAAACGTAATACATAAATTTTCAAGTTTATTGTTATGGCTCCAAATTCATTCACTATTTGAGGAGGAGCGTGTAAAAGGAAAATTTCTCGCATTTCTGCCTCTCAAATAGAGCCCGAGATATTCATTTTTTGAATCGTAACTACTACAAGTACAATTTAAAATATTATAAATTTTTTCACGCCAAATTTCATCAAATTATGTGTAATTTCAAGCTTTTGTTTCAAGAAATCTCTTAAAAACCTCTTGCATCTATGGCTTCTATTAATTTTGTATTTTAAATATTTACTGACAGTGGAATTTAATTGAAGAGAAGAATAAATAAATAATGTATTTATTAAATATAAAAATATGCGTGAGATCTGGCAGGAACACCATTTTTTAAAGTAAAGTGCCTTTCATATTTTGGAATTACGTGCCCAAACTCAAATGCAGCTCTGTTTACAAAAATTTATTTTTAAATTCCAGGCATATCTCAATAAAAGCTTTTTTATCCGTTAACATCTCAAAAATTTCAAATGGCGGAGACGCAGACACAGAGTTTTCCTCTCCTTTATTATTATTTTTGCAAAGTGCTTGAATAAACTGTGCAAACAGACGAAGAACAAACAGCATCCCGGAGTAAAAAATCTCGCCGGCAGGGAATAACAAAGTTTGCGCTCTTCCTCTCTTTTGCATTTTTTCTGCAAAGCAAAACAACTCGCCGGCCGAGTTCTCCCCTGAGCGCGCAATTTATTGGATAGCGCAGGGCATATCGGGTCGCGCCGCATAATTAATTTATGGTGACGTCAGCCCTCGGCATTCCGACAGGGTGCGTAGGTCGCGATCCTGCCTCGCAAATCGCCTTAATTAGGTCTGCGCCCGCACGTCGCTTTTTCAAATTACACGCGTGCTGGCAATTTCACTTTCCATTTCCACGGCACTCACTTCTTATCATGCATTCGGCCAAAAAGTTGGTTCCGCACGCTTTTCGCAACGCGCTAACAACCCAGCGAGGTTATTTGGCCGCAGGGAGTTTTGGGCTCCACGCGCTGCAATAATTAGGAGAACGAGGAAAGGCCTTTTTCCATTCAACTTTGCTGTTTTTGCAGGCGACGTAATACGCATAGCAAAATAATCTCCAGGTTTATGGGAGTAATTTCAGCGCATTGAAAACCCTAATACAAATCTTTCTCACCAAATTTAATATAATTAAGTAATAATTTGGTCATTTCGCTATATTTGAAATATTTTTTTTGCTAATTAACAGACGAAGAAAATTTGACAAAAAGTTATATTTTCTAAAAAGCCATTGAAACTATTGAAGGCTTGTTTGTCTGTAAATATTATACATAATAAATTAAAAATAGTAGGTTTATTAAAATCTAAATTAAAATAATTAAATATTTCATCAAAACAATAAAAATAATAAATTAAATTATTATGAATATAAAATTAAAATTGGAGCAAAAATTATAAAAAAAAAAATAAAAAATAATTGTAAAGTTTGAATTAAAATGTGAAAAAATAATTTGTATTAATTATAACAATTAAAAATAGCTACACACAAAGAAGCATATTAATTGTTTATTTATTTAGACTCATCCAGGTGTTGGCCTAATTGAATTTTTTTTTAAAAGTAGGTTTAAACTTTTAAATCCCGATAATAATTGACATTATACATACATGAACTCATTCAAATAAATGAAAAAAAAAACGAAAATTTAATTTAATGTTGTTCGTTAGTACAAAAGGAAATTAATTTAAATTATGTAAAGATTTCATTTTTGTATACCATCGATCTTATTTATTTTTACGAATTACAACCGAGGCTTCTTTTTAATTCTGAAAGTTTCAGCAAAATTCTTGGAAGTGATGGTGCCGTTTTGCCCAAGAAATCCTTATTTGATTGCTTTAAACAATTAAATGAAAAAATATAATGTAAAAATTTGGACACATAAACAACAATAACAATGCCATAAACTCTCAAGCAAAAATGAAGCTAGATGAATAAATATATGAAAAACAATGTTCTCCAGAATCGTCCAGAATAATATGTGTCTCCATTATTTCCCTGCTCATGATTCATGCAATTACGGTATGTTTGAAAAACCAGACATGCTGTAATGGATTCATTAAAGTACGAGGAGGGTGCGTGTTGCAACAATCAAATCACGTGCCATAGTTAGTGGAAGCGCACCACATTATGTTCAACTCGACAAACTTAATAGACCGTCATCCGCCTTGCCCCACTTTTCACAAAAGCGCGCCGAGTATGTGCGTCTGTCTGTCTGTCTACACGGCATTAATTTTCTCAGAAGAAAAATTACGCTACATAATTGAGCCTGATTTTGTTCTTTGATCGGCCGCACATTAGCTTTTCCTCGGAGCCGCCGTCGGGTTGATTCTGCTTTTCCGTAAAATTTCGTGACTCGCACCGGTGGCAATGGGGATAAAGCAAGCAAGGCCTTCGCCGGGAAAATCAATAGCCAACTGCAGCATGCAAGCGCGGCGGCAAGACCCGTTCATGTAGCCATCGTGTGTACTTGGCGCACATGCCGCGCTCTTTTGCTCGCCTGCCGTGTTCGTGACCCGCAGTCGGCGAAAACGCGACTTGATTTACGCGGGCCACACGACGCGAATTACTTTTTAGATCATGGGCTCCCTTCCGCGTTCGATCAAGAAAGATACACGTTATCTTATGCAAATGATGTGTTTCACTTCATTGATTTTGACCTTTTCTCCATCGTTTATTTCTATGCTTATTATCGAGGCAAAAATACATTGCATATTGGGAATCCTCAATGATCACCGACTGGCCTACTTTCCTCTCTGCAAGACCTAGCAATCAATTTTTATCTGAAATAAGTTCAAGGTTCAAGGTGATTTTAAAATACAAGTTTATCTACCTGCAGAACACTGCAGAATAAAAAAAAACATTGTGGAATTAAAAAAAAAATAAGTATTTTTATATCATTACACAATTATTGCAGATAAATAATAAAATTGCTTCTGTGATAGAATTTCACGATCGAGGGTTGATTTATGGTGATTTTAATTTAAAATCGGCTTTTCCTCGATGGATTTTGAGTTGTTTAAAAAGAAAAAAAACAATATCCTTCTCTACATGTTTTGGCTGCGGGCTGCAGCCATAATTCATGAGCTGTGAAATCGTTTAGACAAAAATTAGTACAAAAATCAATCTTCAAAAGAATATTTTTCTTTCAAATTAATAATTTTTCGTGAAAAATTATTCAAAGTTAAACATATTTTACATAAATCAAAATTTGACAATAGCATTCAAATGTTTTTCACAAATTAATATTTATAATATAATTTTGGTCATGTTTTTCCTTAAACTATAAACAACCCACAAGGCCGATTTTAAATTTGAATCACCATAAATTACTTCAGTTAAAAAACAATTCACTTAAGCTATTTTAGAATGAGTTAAGAAAAAATATAAATATGATTCTAAGTTCTCTGCAACTGAATTAAAAAACTAAGTCATGCATTTCAAAGGTCTCTGATATTGCATTTTCCATCGCAATGCGTCGTTCTCTTCACTTTGCTCTTTCTCACTCTCAGCTCAATTTCTTGCCAGTAAAATGAAGTCAAACAAAGGCCGCGCAAAAAAAGTTTTCGCACGTTGCAAGCTGCTCGGAATGGCAGAGGAAAGAAAGTAAAATCGCACTCCCTGAGGACGCACAAAGAAGACGGATGGCAAATGGCAAAACTTAAATTGCCACTTCTTTCTATATACATACGACGACAGACGTACATTAGGCTTTTGTCGCTGTGAAAATCTAGCTGGATATCGTGCCGAGCCAGCATAGTCTCTTTTTTGCAGTTTGCTCGGGCCCGCACGCAGTAATGCACGTCTGGCGTGGCACGACAAGGCCTGTTCACTGTTCCAAGGCTTATCAAATATTTGAGCGGAAAAGAGTGGATGCGGGAAAATGAAGTGTGTGATTTACATGGTTCGGCAGACCAATTCTTGGATTAAATAAAAGTTTATAAATTTTCCAACCTTTCGAGCAGTGAACATTGAAAATGATTTTGTGATTATTTAAAAATTTAGACAAGTTAAATGAAAGCATAAGTTTATTTTAATATTAAAGATATTTTAATTAAATATATTAAATTAATTGTAAGCTACACTCATGGTAAATTTCATGAAAATTTAAACCTGGTTTAAGCTCGTTGAAAAAATGGAAACAAAAAAAGGACAATTTATCCCATAAGTCGTATACATAAAGAGCAATCAGGCAGGAATCGATTTTTGAGATATTAGATTTCCTTTCATTTTTTTCAACAAGGTTGAGCCCGGTTTCAGTTATTGGAAAATAAAATATTTTGTTTGAAGAATTTGACACTCTTGAGGATGATCATGGAAATGAAGCGATCGGGTTTGTTGAAAATTTGTTTTTTTATTGAAAAACAAAACAGTTCTACCAGTTTCGGTCATGGGCTGCGACGCTATTTCATGAGCAAGAAAATTAAAAAAATTAGCAAAATTGACAACATAAATGAAAGATTATAATTTTTATGTCAAAATGTGATTTTTTTTTTCAATTTTTTATAATTTTTTTTTTCTTTTTCTTGCTCATGAAAAACCGTGACCGAAACTGG